CTTTTCCTACTCATCACTCAACATATCGGTACCTATGAATAACAAACAACGACAATAATAATAATACGACACTATGCTGAGACATAATGTAGCAAACGACTGACACCGACTCCAAAAATAACAATAATTGTAACTACATTATATTATCGTAATAATTTGATTGACTTTTAAGTGGTCCAATATTTTTCATTTCATTTTACTTAGAACTCAAAAAAATATTTTGATCGTTGTTTGTTATTCATAGGTACCGATATGTTGAGTTAGATTTGAAGTGGGTAGGTACCTACCTACCTACCTTCTTGCGTGGTAAACACATGAGATCGTACCTAAATATTGATGAGTAGGAAAAGTAAGTTGATTATTAAGTTGTAGAAGAATATGCATTTATTTTCTTACTTTTTAGTGCATATTAATTTGTTTTGGAATAGTGTTTTTTGAAGTTCTTTTTTGTTAATTTCTTTTTATTTTATCTTGTAGTTGACAACGTTACGATTAACTTGTTTCATTTCAACGCGCATCCGTTCATGGAAACATTGTTAAAAAAAAAAACAAAAGCTAAAGGGTTTATTGCATTTTACACGAAAACTTCAAATCGTACAGAGATAATGTAAATTTACGAAAAATGCAAAATTAAAAGACTATCAAAATCAGACTTCTAGAGTCCCTATTGTTAAATTGTTTGTTTGCAAATTGCAAAATATCGCGTTTTTTTACCATAAAAAAATGATTAAAAAAGTTTTAGGACAATTTGGAATGATTTTTCAAAAACCCCTTTGTTCGTCGAGATTTTCTCTACAACATGGTAAAATACTGTTTTATTCGGTTAACTAGAAATACTGAAACAATCGATTTCCAAAAATTGTTAATTTGTTTTCAGTAAGTGTATTTTATGAATTTTTTACGATTTTCACACGTTGTACAACACGCTTCAAAGATGGTTTTATTGGTTTTATATATTTTTTGTAACCACAATGTACCAGGGCACAGCTATTTATTAAAATATTGAAAATTGATTTTGAATATGTAACATGGATATCATTCTTAGAGCTTTATATAGCGCCATAATAAGTTTACAGAACTATCTAGAAGCTGCTCATTTGAATCTGCTCATAAAACGTGTGGATCTAAGTTTGTCTTTAATTTTTGGAAACAAAAATAAGTCGCTGGGAGCGAGATCTAGGCTGTATGGCGGATGTGTCATCGGTTCCACATTTGAAGCCTTCAAATAGGCTTCAGTTACTTTAGCGGAATGTGAGGATGCGTTATCGTGGTGAAGGATTACATTGCTTCGAAGACGCTTTTCGCGAACTTTTTCTAAGTTTCAATCTGCAGTCACTGTCCTTTGATTTTCAAGCGATACTTTAGTGTAACGCCCTGATTTGCCGAAAAAAGAAGCAATCGTTTTTTTTATCAATGTTTCGACTTTTCTTAACTTTCGTCGGCAAATCTTCAAAAGGAAAGACCCACTCTGCAGACTGACTTTTTCTTTTGGATTCAAAGCAGTACACCCAGGTTTCGTCATCTGTTACGATATTATAGACAGCCAATGTGGATCTTTTTTTATCATTTTATGGCACCACTGGACACGCAGTTGGTCTGGTCCTTTGTTAAGTCATGCGCAATCCATCGAGTGCAAAGCTTCCGAGCTGTCAAGTGCAAATTTAAAATGTTTTGCACTTGGCTCATTCCAATGACAAACAAAGCACGAATTTGTTGGCATTTAATTTTTTTATCAGTTTCAATATTTTGTCGTACGCTGTCAATATTAGAGTATTTAACCGCAGTCGCCGGCCGACCTTCACGTATGTCATGGAGATGATCACGTCTACGTCTAAATTCTCCAAAGTACAAATTCACAGAGCTGCGACATGGTGCTTCATTACCAAATGCCAATTGAAGTCTCTCTTTACTCTCTTGTTGACTTAGGCCACAACGAAAATCATAAAAATCATTGAACGAACCCGTAGATAGCGACACACAATTTTTGAAAGGACGTCACAATTAAAAATAAATTACTATCTCGCAAATTAAAAAGTAACATATGCCGAAAGAGTTCTATTTACGAAAGTCTTTAATTAATTTTTCATTCTTCTATTGTAGGAGGCCAAATTCAGAGACTTTTAGTATGCCCCACGTAAATTACTATCACTGCATATTATAAAGAAAAACAAAGTCTTCCGCTGCGACTGTCTGTATGTTTGTTTTTTCAAGATAAACTCAAATTACTGAAGGGATTTTAATGCAGTTTCACAAAAAGAAATAGTCATTCATTAAGAAAGTACAGTCTGTTTTAAACATAAAAAGTCCTGCTACAGATTTTATGGTCTCGCTCCCATCCGCTCAGGGCGTGTAACGCGCGATAAGGAGTTTCGTTCATGTGTTACATTTGAATCTTATCCACATATTCGACGTGTAAAGCTGATATATCCAAATAAACATGGAAACATAATCTGCTATGTTATCCATGTTATTTATAGCGTGGGGGCAAGCGAGCAGACGGGCCACGTGATTTTAAGTGACAACACAATCCATGGGTTTCCATTTTTCTTCCACAATTGACTCTTCTGCGTCGTTGATAGTTTAATAGGTTGTTCTGGATAAAATAACATGTAAATACTTACAAAAATAATTTTAGGTGTGTTCTAGACAGGATTTCTATAGTACTTGGTTATTTTTTTGTGTCTAGTTCCAACCTATCTTACCTAACCTGTGGATAGTTTAGGTCGTGAGAGTATTAGGAGGAGTGCGAATTTCTTAATAAAAGACTGCGCCGAGTGTTGTGGGTTCGATCCCCACATGAGGCGACACTTTGTGTAATCCACAAATTGTCCGTTTCATGTATGTTTGTAAAGTCCCCCGCGACATAGGATATACTCCTAATGCGGGCGTTGTCTTTTTTAAAACAGCTTTTGCCGAGTAGCCGTTTGCATTTGCAGAAGACAATGCAGGTTTTGTTTAGCTTCCACAGGAGTTTACTGTCTAGTACGAGTATAACTCCCAGGTATTAGACCTCTTTGGTAACAGTCAGTTGTATATAGTTTAGAAAGTTTGAGATTTCCTAGTCTACGTTTATTTGTTAACATGATCGTCTCTGTTTTCGATGCATTCACTGTCAAGTGTTACACGCTTTAGAGTACGGAGTGTTTGTAGGTACGAAGGTAATTAAAGATAGAAGTGACCACATATAGATTAAGATATATACAACTTACACGAGTAACATTATAATAATTATTATGATATCAATAACAAAAACAATGTAACAATTTAAATTCGGCGTCTGTTGATAACAGCTATCAATGTTATGTCATAGGTTATTTATATTAAGAAGTGTTGCAGTTCACAATTTGAGAAAGGTACTTTGTACTTAACTGTGACATATTCTACCTTCCCGGCCAGCGTCTACTACAAAAGGGCAGACATCGCCTTAAGGTAAAATCTCTGTACCAGGGATTTTCTTCCTAAGGTACACATGGTTTTCCGGCAACTGGTACCCGAGACGGCGTGCGGTTTCTGGTCGGTTCGAGTCCGACATAATCACTGATGGGTGGAATCCGAGGGGATTTCTGAATAGAAAAAAAAGGGTAAAAACTCTAACGTCTAGGCACACGTGGACATCAACTGATCGCTTTTGCTGCCTGTGGCGGCTGCAGGGGTGAAACTGAGTACGGGTTCTATCTACCCACAGCCACAATAAGGGTGGCATGAGGCCGTAGAAGCTCTGAAGACCAATACTAACCATACCAAGCATTACACGTTAGTGCTAAAAGTTTTATTTTGGTAAATACATACACACTTTCATAAAGAAGAATATACACGCTGGCCAGACAGGTTTACCAAACCGTCTGGCCAGCGTGGTATAGTAGGCGTGGAATCAAAACTATACCTAGTTTTCCTTCTCTTTGCAGTGCTGTTGTCCTGCGTAGTTTGCTTCCTTAGTCGGCTCTTACGACACTCACTGGATGAATAGAGGTGCTATCACTGCGTATTCTTAATCTGTCACCACACGGACACTATTATTCGATAGTTGTTATTAAACTTCATTTGATAACTTTATGATATCTTTAAAATTAAGTATAATAATCATATACCGTCTCAAAACAAAATATTTACTAAGATTTATTTTCTGGAACAATCGTTAAAACTTTTTTTAAGGTATTTAGTAAACAACCAGACTGGTTACCTGACGAATAGTGACTATCGTCGCCCATTTGTACCTGCAACTCCAGAGATATAAAAGATTGTCGCAGTTCAAGTGAAATTGTCGAGGAAGGCTTGGGCCAACGGTAGCCGCACTCATTCAAATCAATAGCCTTTATATGTCCAGCAACATAAGCCTCTCCTTAGTAAGAAGGTTTTGGCCTACTGTAACACGCTGCCCAGACGGGTTGGTATTGGGTTTGTGTCAAGCCTCTTTGCAGTGCTGTTGTCATGCGTCTGTCTGTTGTCTAGCTAAGTCAACTCTTACGACACCAACGGGATGAATGGGAGTGGTGACACTTTGAATTCTTAATCCGTCACGGTGTAAAGTATCAAATAAATTCTTTAAAGGTGATTTTCTCTGAGGCCATCATATAATTCTGGTCCCGCTATATTTGCCGAAAGGTAACTCTCTCACTAGGAAATTAATCACTTTTGGATTTTTCTTTTACTTGTGTTATAAGATCTCCTTGCCAAATTTCCTGACTTAAAATAATAGCAAGTACTAGATATGTTTTGATTTACCTGCATTTACCAGTATACGACTCAAATATCTTTTGATTACGTTGACCTTGATGCCTTTTAAAGCTTCAAAAAACTTCAGAAGCAGGTTAGTTTTCGCTTTTCAAAAACGGAACCCTAAAATAGAACAATCAGTGATACCTAGAACTGCTGTTTGTATTCTCAGATACTGAATTAAAAATAAATTTTACTCACTTCTAAAGAAAGGTCATTTCAATCAGAGACGCGATTAAATAACGACGTTCCGAAATTTTAATTCCTGCACCGAAACGAATCAGAAGATGAAGATTTTATACTTTCTCTCTTTAGTAGTATTTTGCAATGGATTGCCTCTTAATTCAGCACCAGAAAATGTACAAACGACTACATTTATAAATCCGGATGAAACGGAATTGTACTTTGTTGTTACTTGGGATAAGGTTGAAAGTTCAGATGCGGCAGACCCCATTTTGGGTTACAAGGTAAGTTGGGCCTTATTTGTGGGACTAAAATTATAAAGTAACGGCAATGTTTAACACACGTACTAACATCAATATAAATAATACCAATTATTTATGAATAATTTATTTTTATTCCTTTCCTTTTGGGTTTTTCTCCTGTCGATGTTGTATCCCGTTGTTTCTTTGTCTTAACACGCTTTTATTAGCTTGGTATATATGTATGTAATGGAATTTTGACACAATTTAAACCGTCGAATTAAATTAAATCCTTGCATATTTAACAAGGGCTGATGACAATGTAATAATTTAAATAATTTACTTTGACGGCTATTCCATACCTAAAAATACGGTAGTGTCTTTTGCCACATACCAAGACGTGAGCTGAAGTATATTCGATAAACTTACTTTATTACTTCTTACTGTTGCAGTCTTAATAAGACACTAATTATCATTAATGACTAAAAAGAAAAAAAATAGTTAAAAAAAACTAAAATAAACACGCTTTTGTAGCCGAACTAAAAAGAAGGAAATAATTTTCCATAAGTTATCATATTATAACTTTACTTTTACCAATCGGTCAGTAAAATATATTTACAATACTTGAAATCTAGCACCCACGCTTTTTTACGATAAAATTATTATTCTTTTTGCACTTCTAGAAAATCATTTCCTTCTTTATACATAAGCGTGTTTAGTTTTTTTAAACTATAATTTATTTAAATTCCATATTTACCGTTTCTTCTATCTAAGGTAAAAAAAAAAACATTCTACGCGTCGGTTTTTTTTTGTGATTTGTAGACGTTTTTAATTTGTTGTTTTAAAGAGTTTGGTAAACTAACAGTTCTTGAAAATGTGTTGAGTCTTATTCTAACAATATGTTTTAAAAAGAAGTGTTCTGCTGATCGCATGAGTAGTATAGCCAGCATGCTACTATTTTTTTTTAACTCTTTTTTGACTACAGTTTCGACAGCAGGCGAATGACATGCTTCTTTTGTAGATAGGCATCGATGACCCTCGGGCAACTTAAGAAAAAATCAAGTTCAAATGTTTCAATACTTTTTTTCATTTTTTCCAGAAGTAAGCAGGTCTATTGAGACGTAGAATGATTGCGATCGTAACTTGAAATCGGTTTATAGTTTTTATTTTACTTTGCAGGTAAAAGTATTCGAAGGAAAAGTAAATGTTACTCATGTAACGAAAGCTGATGGTTCAAAGGTGACAGAGCTGGATATTGACTTAGAAAATGAACCGGTAATTACTTTTTATATAAATTTACCATATACCCTTTGCTATGGCACATTGTGTTTGCATTGATGACAAATGAGGAACTAATCTGATACGAAAAATAGATGAAAACAATCTTTGAAGCGGGTTGTGCATTGAGCTTAATCGGTGCAGCTTTTTTGAGTTTTTCTAGAGTACACAAACCAATTTATCTCAGTATTGATCTTTACTGAATTACTAACTTTTAAACTTTCGCGTTCCACGATAATTAATATTATTTTAACGGGAATTAACGCGATCTCTTATTTAGGGTATTACATACCTCTGGTTTGCCTGACGTTTCGACCAGGTTGCACCGGCCGTGGTCACAGGCTGACTGGCTCATCAGCGCACGCCCTCCCTCCCTTTACTAAATTAACTATTTAAAATTTTTCAGCAAGAGCCAAGCGTCGAAGTAGCTGAAATAGATGTGTCGGCAGATAAAAATGAATACACATATCACAATATGAAAGAAAAAGTACGTTATGAGGTTGCAGTGCAAGCATATACGGCGAAAAGCGTAGGTCCAGAATCAAAGAGGTCCAAATTTGTATGGGCGTAATCTTACAAATCAAGCTGAAACAAAATGTATAAACAACAAGAACTCAAATAATGTTTGTAAATGTTATATAACTAGTGTGACATTAAATAAATATCTGCTTAAATAATTGATTTTTTAAAACAGTATAACCGACTTTAATCCGTGTGGTTACGGAGTACGGAGTGTCCGCACCACTATTAATCCCGTGGGTGTCGTAAGAGCCGACTAAGGGAGTAAACTATGCAGGACAACAGCACTGTATAGAGTAGGAACATTAGACACGAACCCGGTACCAACCCATTTGGCCAGCAAGGTATGGTAGGTATAGTAAAACCTTCTTCCTAAGGAGAGGCCTATGTCCAGCAGAGGACTATTAAAGGCTGTTGCTGTGATGATGGGAACCGACTTTAATGTACCTCATGATGAATTGTTATAAACTGTATTCTTCATTTCCACCCTTAGGCCACTCCTAAGGGTGGAAATGAACTCCTATGGGTAGGTAAAACCTCTACAAAAAATCTTGAAAATTGATTCAAAATTGACTGAGTTGTGATGTAAGAAACTTAACAAACAAAACGAAAAACTCGAGCCCAATTGAGAACCTCATAGTTTTTTACAGTTTTTAATAAAGAAAGTAGAACATTCTTTTAAATTTAATTACTTTATTAAAGTCTCAAAGTTACTGCTTATTGCCCAATGTGATGTAAATGATGATAATTATGTTAACACAAATCTGCAATATTAATCAAAAATTTGCCAATTACAATTTCATAGACCAAATCGCAATTGATTTACTAATCCATACTTCCTTTTACTTGACGGTATCGGATTAAGAATACGGAGTGTCCCCACCACTATTAATCCCGTGGGTGTCGTAAGAGCCGACTAAGGGAGCAAAGTACGCAGGACAACGGCACTGCAAAGAGATGGAAATCTTGAAACAAGCCCTACATCAACTCGTCTGGCTGGCGTGGTACGAGTATAGTAAGCCAAAACCTCCTTTCTAAGGAGAGGCCTATGTCCAGTAGAGGACTTTAAGGGGTTGTTGATGATGATTATAGGTAAGGAAGGAGGGAGGCATTAGTAAGAAAGGGATGTCGCAGATGAATTAAGCAGTGTGAACAATAGCTCAAGCAGGCCCGGGTAGTATTCAAAATGGCTGGAAAATGCGTTATTTTAATAAGGAAATCAAATTAAACTTGAGGATTTATCGCTAAAGCCATTATTTTGGAAAACACGAAAATATGGCAAAGAAGATAAAGGGAATAAAAGAAGCGAGATAAAATTAAAGGCATTTAGGAAAAGAGTGATTTTATATTACTTCAGTTAAATTTTCCACTTGAATATATAGCTTAGTTCAAGAAGTAAATTCTAAATTCGAGGTCAGAGTTCAACAGCGCTAAGTAAAGAATTTAAAAATACTTTTTGGAGAAAGTCACGTATAATAGTAGATCTCTATATGTTGACCTTTTGTGCAGACTGATAAAATTATAAAGTATTTTGGCCTTGACATTGATGTAGTAGTTTAAAGTGAAATCAAGTTGAATTTTTCGACATCATAAGTCATATTCTCTAACTTTAGATGAAATTGAGGCAATGTGGACAAGTGTTTATTTTTTGACGAGTGGTTGTGTAACGGACTGCGATTCCAAAGGTCGCGGGCTCAATTCCCGTCCAAGTCAAACATTTGTGTGCATGAACATTTAATGTTTGATTTGGTCTGGGTGTTTCTATCTATATGTATTTCCAAAAAAATATATATATGTAATGAAATGATTGACATTTCATTAATTTGAATTTCGCACATCGAAGTGACATGAGAACTATGATTCAATGGCAGATGACGCTTAGATTATTTTGTGCATTTTATTGTTATAAAAACTTGTAGAGAGATAAACCGAAGGATACGATTGAGGAAGCGATATTAGTGAACTTCAAATGTCGTTTCTTTGTATTTTCAGGTGAGATAGAAGTGTAATTGTCATAACTTGATAATTGTTGTAATATTGTAAAGGCGTATTAAATAAAACAGAAATTTGTATTTTCAGAGAAACAATTTATGGTTTATTTTGAAGATCCTCAATAATATACCTTATATATATATGTATTTATATCAGTTGTCTATTACCCATAGTACAAGCTCTGCTTAGTTTAAGACTAGATGGCGATGTGTAAATGTGGTAGAATATTTAAAAACATATTATTATTAAAAAAAATGACATAGTTCGTGAAGTGGTAGATAATTACAATTACAAAAAAAACAAGAGTTTTTTGTTGTTTTTTTAATTGTATGTAGGTACCTATTTAGTTTCCTCATACAAAGCGGCATTTCTACCCCTTCAAACAGGGTTATTTCAAAGACACGTAATGTTGTATTACATATTATATTATTAGTATACTGACTACCGCGGTGGCGCAGTGGTAGCGTATGTGACTGCTGTGCTGAGGTCTCAGGTTCGATTCCCGGGTCGCACCTAATGTTTATATGATCTGCAAATATTTGTTTCGGAGTTTCGGTATTTTCTATGTATTATATGTATGTATTTACAAAAAAAAAGGATATAGGTATTCTATCAGTCAATCTAGTTTTCATAGTACAAGCTCTTAAAAAATTATATAAATAACTAGTAACCCGCCCCGGCTTCGCTCGGGTGCAATGTATGACATCACATTACGAAGCTTAGGAATTCTTCTATTGCCTCTACTATAAAATGCATGTAAAAATTCCCAAACCTATTTTATAACAACCCCATTTAATCACTTATAGGGGCTTTTTAATTGTAGTTTTGAAAAATTAATAACAACTTTTTTGAGTTACTATTACATATTTTTTTTAAAAGACAACTCCTGCATTAGGAATATATCCTATGTCGCGAGGGAACTTTACAAACATACATAAAACAGACACAAAGAACACCCAGACTCAGAACAACAATTTGTGGATCACACAAAGTGTCGTCCCATGTGGGGTTTGAACCCACAACACTCGATTGATTCGATCGATCGATTGACATGATCGATGACATTATTCGAGTCAGTCTGTCAGTTTCTTCTTTTATAGATATGATATTATTATAGATATTGACTGCACGGATGGCGTAGTGGTTTAAGCGGTCGCCACGCTGCTTCCTACTACGTCGAGTGTTGTGGGTTCAAACCCCACATGGGACGACATTTTTGTGTGATCCACAAATTGTTGTTCTGAGTCTGGGTGTTCTTTGTGTTCGTTTCATGTATGTTTGTTAAGTACCCCGCGACACAGGATGTATTCCTAATGCGGGAGTTGTCTTTTAAAAAAAAAAAAAAAAAAAAAAAATATAGATTAATGTTCTACATTCAATTAGACATTTAATCAAGCACAGATACCTACTAACTGCATTCGATACATCTTCAATCTTCGGAAGTATGACCATGTGTCTGCTTTGCGTTCCCAATTAAACTGGTTGCCTATTCGCCACCGCCGCAAACAGCGCGCACTTACCTCTCTATTTGCATTTCTCAAATCACCGTCCTCACCTACTTACCTTGCTCCCTACTTACGTTACCTGTCTAGTAATCATGACAGAAACCTTCGCTCAGATAACAATCTGCTTCTCTTATGTCCCTCTCACAACTCCGACTTCGTGAACTCTTCGTTCTTTGTTCAAGCGGTACTACTCTGGAATGCGCTCCCGCTCGAAATCAGGATGTCCACAAACCGCTTTATATTCAAAAAGAAGGTACATGCTCTCCTTCTTAAAGAAATGGCAGAACGGTCTAATCCATAGTTAAGTATACCTCATATTCAGGTTTTCATAGTGTACGAATAAGATATGTCTATGTATCTATATAAATATACTTGTATATATATGTATATGTATCTATGCGTATTTGTGATGTGTAAGTGTAGTATGTGTGTATATGTTTATATATGTAGTAAACCGTATATATTTTCATTGTACATTTGATATTATGATGTAACCTCTGTGCACCTACCTTACAAGATTTCTACATCACCCAAAGGTTGACTGGAAGAGAATGCCCTGGGCATTAAGTCCGCCGATGTACAAAAGTGCATAAAGATAAATAAATAAATAAATAAATAAAAAAATACCTGTGGGGACCTATTTTTCATTAAATAACTTTTATGTCGAGGAATGCGCACTTCTTAAAGTATATCTGTTCCGTTTGTTTTATTTCTTTGAGTTTTCATTTCTTCACTATTTATTATTATTCATAATAATTCTTATCTACAACAACTAATAAGAATTTTGTAAATATTTTAATAAAAGGAAATCTCCCACGATTTAAAAATATAAAAAATATATATTTAAGAACATTTTTAAAGAAGTCACCATAATATGGTCTAGTACAATCTACAACCACAAGTATTGCCTCCACCATGGCCCAGACTAGCTGCAGCTAGCTTCAGGTGCACCTGAAGACATGAAAGACAGGCCCGAACCATAACCAATTCCACCAGCTCCGATAGCTGATGACCCAAGACCAGCCACACCATCAGAATTAACGGCTTCACTTGTGATAGCAGTTACAGCATTACCACATCCGTAGTTAACGAGTCCCAAAATACCACAAGGTAATACTTCTTCAAAAGCCGTTCTGTGCCACCAGACAACGGCACCGTACGTGATTATTGGTCGTATGACTGTTTTGTAGAGCCATAGTGTAATCTTTGGTGACTGCACGGATGGCGTAGTGATTAAAACGGTCGCCACGCCGCTTCCTACTACGCCGAGTATTGTGAGTTCAAACCCCATATGGGACGACACTTTGTGGCAATTCACCTACAACGTTGGTAATTCACCTACAACGTTGAGAGATCCTTCGAAAGCATTCTCAGATGCCACCGCCATACCACTGGGAGCAATTGCAGAGTTGCTTTGAATGGGTAGAGCACCACCGCTAGTAGGTATAGACTGGAGATTTGCTTGGATTTGCTTGGATTGACTTGGAGTTTATGACAGCGTTAAAACCAAGGCCAGAGCTAATTCCAAGCCCACCGCTGTAAGCCAATTTATTCG